TCTTACTCTTCAGTTTATCAAATATTCTTTAATTTTTAGTCTTCTTCATTCTCAATATAACAATAAAATAATATACGATTCTTTTTATTTATTTATTATTCAAAATCAAGCTATGTATCATACATGCATTCAATTTTTTTTTATATTTATTCTCTTTTAGTTGTATTTAAGGTATTTTCTTAATAAAGTAATAAAAATAATATATTTTCACAAAATTTAATCATTTTTCTATAATTTATTTATGTAATATTGAATTAATTGTTCAAAGTAATGAAATATACTTTCATTTTATAAAGACATATTTTGAGTTTTCGCTGAGGGCCTCGAAAATATCTAAGACGGCTCTGAATTTAGATGACAATTTTTCTCTGTTGTTAAAGTCTTTGTCCAATATGTTCCCCTTAACTGCATCAACTATGTTCTTTTAATATGCCTTTTATCCTTTGGCCTTATCATTAACCAATATGTTACTTGATGTCCTCTGTAGTGTTGCTACGTTTAATGTTATGGATGTTCTTCTATTGTCCTTTTTCAAGCAATTGAAATCACAAAACTTTGGCGTATAACAACAGGTTGTGGTGTCTCTGGGAAGTGGGCCATGGGATCAACTATTTGGTGGTGGAAACTTACCAGCTTTCGCTGTAGCAGGCGTTGCAGCCCTCACCGGTGGACTGGTAGCTATCTTGGCTATCCCTCGAAGTGGTTCACCGAAGCCCAGGGTCCTCCCATGAGGTAATTTGTTGTGCCTTATTTTCTGTTTGCCATCAACATGAACATTAAATTTGGATCTTCCCATGAGGTATTTTGTTGTATCCTTCCCCCCCCCCCCATCAATTTGAATATTAAATTTGTTCATACTGCAAGAATTTGTAAATAGATATTGTTGCTTTATTGATTAATAATTTTTTTCCCCTTTGGCTTATTATACAAACCGGTACCAGAACGTGATTTTTTTCTTCTCAAATTGGCACCTAAACTTGAAAAAATTCTCAAATTAGTACCTATGTTGACTTGGTATCTAAACAATCAATCATGTTGCGGACACGGTATTGACCACTCAAAATGATGATACCATTAAGTGTCGCGTCTCGCGTGTTAACTTTTAACTGTTGAAATATATCACCAGTATCGAATATTATTTTTTTTCCTTCTGATTTTAGATACTAAGACAAGAAATCAGATATCAATATGTGAAAAAATGGCAAGTTCAGGTAAATCAATTTTTATAATAAGCCTTTCTTCTCTTTGAGAAGAAAAACCTGCCCACCTGAAGGAAATATTTTGTGTTTGATCGAGAATTGGTCCCAAGAATACTTCCCTTAGCACCACAAAGATAAGTAGCTGCAGATGGGATCTATTCCTTACCAGAACATAAACCTTTTTACTTTGTTGTTGTTGTTGTTTTGAAATGAGATGATGGCAATTTGCCCTTTTGTGGTCTAATCATTATGTATTGGAATCTCATGCATTTTGTGCCCGAATTTGTAGTGAATTGTGCTGATTGCAACCTTGAGGGAGACAGGTCTTTTTAATATGAAAAAAGCTTCATTTATTTTAAGTGAAGGGTGATGTTTACGATTGCTCTGTTCTTTTATAATATTTTACATATTTTTTCCTCTGTTTTTGTTGCTTTGCTTGGCATCTGAGCATTGGAATAAATTCTGTGTTAATTGTGCACTTTATCATTTTTATTTGCTTTTAGAAAAGACTAGGGGAAACAAAATTTGATGCAATCAAGCTAAAATGAAAACCCATGTTGGAAGAAGATTGTGTCAACACATATTATGAGTGAGGCTGGGTACATTGATTTTGGTGCCTCTTGAATATTACAGCAGACAGCTGTTGCCTGTGGCATTTTGATGGAACATTGGAAACAGGGAAACCGAGTACTGGAATATTTGAGACTAAGCAAGCATCAATTTTGATTTTGGGAAACAAAATGGAATCTATGAATTTGTTCGAGTTCCTAGAAACCAATGGCATATTATAATACCATTCCACTTCATTGCCAACCCTAGAAACGAATGGCATCAATCATCCTTCTTCCATCCTAGAACTTGTTCCATTTCTTTTTCCCCAATCCAAGGCACCCTTTCCTTCCTTGGAAATATTTACACTAAAAAATTAATTAAATAATTATTATTTATTTTAAATAATTTGGAATGATCATACTATTAGTATATATTTAGAATCTTTCTCAATCATTAACAACGCACACACCATACAAACATAGTTATTCGAACTCGTTTATGTATGTATATCAGAGAAATGGAGAATAACTCATCAAGTAGCTTGAGTGGTGAAAGGAGATGTTGTTATCCTAAATTCAAGTAACTGTATCTGCAGGATGTCTGTTGTTAATATGTTAAGAAAATTTTGAATATATACTATCTTATTAAAAAATGAATAGAGAAGAAGATACGTCCAATGGGAATGAATTGCACGACACATAGGTGTGATATGCATCAACACATGGAGTCTGACATTGGAAGAGGGTATGGGTTTCAATGAGAAAAGCAGTAACAATCTTATGACATACCCAACAAACAAAATCAGAAAAAAGAGGGAGAAGCTGTATTGTTTGAGTTAATGGTAGGATTGGTGCCACTGCCAGTCTCAAACGCCACCATAAGGGATTTTTCTTTCCCGCAGAGCAACAATATAATAAAATCACCAAAAATGAGAAGAAAAGAAAAGTGGGGGCTTGCAAATTAAATGGTTAGAGTTGAAGCACGTTATTGTTTCTCAGTGTTACCCTTTCTTCCATCTTCTGGTTTTCATTGCATCTGCTGCCATATCCATTAACACACTCTGGTGGTCCCATTTTTCGACCACTACAATACCTATCTATGCTTCCCCTTTTAATAAGATAACCCTTTTCCTCAACACCCTCCAATTGCATAAATCAGAGTCCTCTTCTTTCTTCACTCCTACTTCTCCCAAAGTATTACCACTTGTAAACTATAATAATGTTTGTTACGCCTTCAGTAAATATCTTTAAAGATGTATCTAAAAAAAGTGATTATCATAAACGAAATAAATTGTATCTGATGATGTGAAAGACTAGGGAGAGAAAAGATAGTCAACCTCCCATCAATTTTTTCTTTCATCAATTAATATTTAATACAAACTCAATCATTATTTATAAACATGATTTTACATAATTTATAAATGAATCTTATACAGATATGATAATAATTTATGCAATGGGTAATGAACAAAATAATAATGGATTGGATCTCAACCTTCAAAAATAATTTATTTTCCTTAACTTTTCTTGGATTTTGGATAAATAAATGTGTAATTATTTTTATCCATTAAACTTAATTATCATTCCTCAATATTTATAAATATAATTTAAGAACACATTGAATGATCTCAATGATAAAAGAGAATATTATTCTCTAAAGGGTTCCGATTATAGATGTATGTACGTCGTTATAGGCAAAGAAAATTTTGAACATATATTCTCCTGTAAAAACTGAAACAATTTAAAAGAAAATAACTATAATTTTGAATTTTATAAATGAATATTATCTATATATATATATTGAAATTTATAAATGAATAATATGTATATATATGATAATGATTGATATATTTAAAAACAATGGATAAAATAATAATAAACAAAACCCAAATAGAATATTTATTTACAAGGAAAGCAGAAATTGTTCCCTCAAACATATGGTTAAATGTTTCCTCAAAGGAAAGGATGAATTGATTCCTCATTTCCAGTGTATCTCAGTTCTGATAATCCTTGGAGGATCGGGAAACTGAACTCAGCCTATAAATATATACATATACACAACACCGGCCAACAAAATATCAACACCCTACAGCCTACACAACATATATTTATATATAAACCATAGAAAGGCATGTCTTAAACACTCAATATAATTAGTTTTTTTTTATTACGTAAACGGCATTAATTATTTAATATAATGTTGGCCAGTGTCACTCTCTTCCTCATTGCTCTCTAAAGGAATGAAGTAAGGAAAAGATATTGGGCCTCAAACAAAATTTATGAACAAAAGCTTGTCAACTCTCCCATATTGCGTTTTCCTTCTGTTGTTTCAGTGGTTGCATTCATCACATGGGGTTGGAACATGCATGGCTTTCTTTGAACATGCAAACAGATCTATCTGCATATTAAAATTATGTCTAGAGAGAGAGAGAGGAATATGTTCAACCATTGTCAAAAATCATATATATATATATACATACACACACACACTCTGATATGCTCCTGTCATTTCGTTAAAAAGAGATGATTGAAATTTATTTACTTGTCAATCAGACTTCAACTTGACAATCGAAGGATAAAACTCTTTCAATATAGTAATCAAAATATGCTTATACCGTATAACCTAAAGAGAGGTTGAGATACGGCAGTGAAGGTGGTTTTCAAGATTATCCACTTAATCATAAAGTATAATTTTATTTGAACTCTTAAAACAATGTTAAACTCACCACACTATCCATACAAAATGACAATAAAAAAGGGGTCCCCACATATCATTATAGCTAACAATTTCGTGGGCTTTCACCACATCTTTGTAGTTATAATGTTAATTATATATACATAAAGAAATCATGAGAAGAAAAAGGATATGACAGGATTTACGGTTATATAAATAAAGGACCACTGTTTAAATTTATGGTGATGGGTTCCTTTCCATGGTCAAAAACTTTTTGAGTTTTCTTTGTTTCTCTGAAAGAGGATTATTCAACAAAAGGAATAAGAGTTCCAAGTGACTAACAAACCTTGAAATTCAGAGAAAAGAGATAAGGAAAGGAGGGAAACTCAAAGAAGCTAAAAAGAGGTATGGGAGTCCAAAACAAAAGTATTTTCTTAGGTAGATACCTTTCCAGCATTGCCTTGCCTTCCATTGTATCTAATATTGACACGTTCAAGAAGCTCAAGAGTAGGCCCCAATTACCCTATATAAATATCCTCTCTCCCCACCCCACTTTTCTCCAAAACCTCACAGCACCCCATAAGCACAAGCAGTCAAGGGTCTTCTTCCTTTCCCATAATTTGTTTTATCCATTACAATACAGCTAGACATGTATAGCTCAAAGCCATCTTATCCAAAAACCTCATTTATCCCTTCAATAGAAGACCCTTTCAATAAAACTGTGGATCTTCCAAATCATGATGAACAACAACTACATAGGATGCCAACTCTATCTGAGGTATAAAACATCTTAAACTACATGACTAGAAAAAAAAGGGTACCTTTTGTTTTATCATTAGCTGCCAAATGTCTGAACTTTCCTGCTTTGTTTTTGCATTCAGGCCCTGGAAGAAATCAAAGCCATAGGGAAGATCTCAGGCCCTACAGCTATTAGTAGTTTACTTCTATATTCAAGAGCTATGATCTCCATGCTTTTTCTCGGCTACCTCGGTGAGCTTGAGCTTGCTGGTGGGTCACTCGCCATTGGTGTTGCAAACATTACTGGCTACTCTGTAATCTCTGGTTTAGCCATGGGAATGGAACCCATTTGTGGACAAGCTTATGGTGCAAAACAGTTGAAACTCCTTGGAATAACCTTACAGAGGACGGTGCTTCTTCTTCTATCAGCTTCTGTCCCTATCTCTTTCTTGTGGGCCTGCATGAAAGCTATCCTTCTTTGGTGTGGTCAAGACCAAGAGATATCATCAGTGGCTCATACGTTTATTGTCTTCTCAATCCCTGATCTTTTCTTCCTTTCACTTCTTCATCCACTTCGAGTCTACCTCAGGGCTCAGAGCATTACATTACCTGTAACTTACTGTTCGGCCATCTCGGTGCTTCTCCATGTGCCGTTGAATTTCCTTCTTGTCGTTCGTCTTCAGCTCGGTGTTGCAGGGGTGGCTATAGCTATGGTGTGGACTAACCTCAATGTGTTCATTTTGCTTTCTTCATTCGTATACTTCTCTGGTGTGTATGAAAATTCATGGGTAACTCCGAGCACTGATTGTCTTAGGGGATGGTCATCTCTTCTTGCTCTTGCTTTGCCAACTTGTGCCTCGGTTTGCCTTGAATGGTGGTGGTATGAGCTCATGATATTGCTTTGTGGCCTACTCGTTAACCCCAAAGCTACCATTGCTTCAATGGGGATCCTTATTCAGACTACGGCTCTGATCTATTGCTTCCCTTCAGCTTTAAGCATTGGAGTATCCACAAGAGTTGGTAACGAACTTGGCGCAAACCGACCTGGAAAAGCTCGCATTTCCATGATTGTTTCGGAGTTTTGCGCGTTAGCTATTGGTCTCTCAGCAATGCTGTTCACCACTTTGATGAGACACCAATGGGGCAAGTTGTTCACCAGCGATGCCGAAATCCTCGAGCTTACAGCGGTTGCATTACCGATCGTGGGGCTTTGCGAGCTCGGGAATTGTCCTCAAACGACTGGTTGCGGGGTGCTAAGAGGCACTGCCAGGCCAACCATCGGAGCAAACATAAACTTGGGTTCGTTTTACTTGGTGGGGATGCCAGTAGCTATCCTGATGGGGTTCGTCGTCAAAATGGGGTTTCCCGGGCTCTGGCTTGGCTTACTAGCTGCTCAAGCAACCTGTGCATTGCTCATGCTGTTGGTTCTCTATAGAACAGATTGGACGGTTCAAGTAGAAAGAGCAAAAACGCTCACCCAAACCAGCAGTAACAGCAATAAACTTCAATCTCCATTGCCTATTTCAGCAAAACAAGATCCAAAGGAAAACAACGAGAAGGCTCATCTTGAAGGGATAGTGTCCGTTTACGATGAAACTGAAAAATCTGCTTCACCTGAAGAAGACTCTCTCATCTAACTCAGCAGTACGGATGCTGAGCACTAATTAGAGTTTCAGTTCAGTTACCAGTTACCACCTTTCATAAAACCACTTCGATATACACTTCCCCACTCTAATTTTCTACTGTTTATTTCTCTTTTGTTTGTTTTAACTCAACTTTTATTTTGTATTTTTCTCCTTTTTAATCCCCATGTTGTATCAAAATAACAAATGTGGAATGAAATAGACATACCTTATGCATACATTGGGGGGATTGAAAAAGCTGTGAAAATATTAAAAAAAAGACCATGGAACATGATTCTGCTAGACTTTCTTGTTATTCCTTTCCTTTTAAGGCAAACAATAACCTTACACTTCATCACTATCTATAAGCCAAAATCAGCAAAATGATCATTCTCTACTAAGTAGCCACTTTGGATTCTACTCTAAAATAAGGGTGTTTTGTCCTAAAATTTAACATTGAGGATAAAAAAGCTTCAAAATACTTAAAAAATATATAGACCAAAATAATTATATATTCAAATAGTAGTAGAGTTTTCCACGAAACCATATCCTAATTGTTTTTCACATAACAATAATTATAAAATTACAAATAAATATATTCCTTCCTGGTCCTACTTTAAAACTGAACCAATCCTCAAGAATTGCCCTTTTCTTGTTATCATTAATTTAACGAAAAACATAATTACCAGTCTAATTAAAGATTAAAATTAAATTAAAAAACGAAGAAAATTGAACGCGACTGAAAATATTATGACCCAACACAAATTGGGATTAGAGTGATGAAAACAATGAATTCATATGTTTAGGATGAGGTTTATATGATGATTAAGCAAACAAAAAAACAAAAGGCAAATATTTTGAAAGGGGTGGCTTTGGGGTGGAGCCTGCTTCAACTGAAGAAACAAAATCCACATATGATTTACCTGTGTCTACTTCTCACATGACAAAATTTTGAGCAGTGACTCTGCCATTTTTGGCACTTTCCCACGCTCCACCTTCACCTTGCTTCTTTGGCTTCCACAATTCCAACACTGATGACTGAACCCCACAAACACTTAAAAAAAAAAGATCAATAGGTTAAAAGTTGAATTGTGCGCCCACTTAAAAGGTTAATTTAATATGGTTACAATTAAAAGGTTATATAAATTTATAATATTTTTTAATTGTAATTGAAAAATTATATTGCAATGAGTTTAAATCTTACTATGAAAAATATTATGAAAAAATAAATTTTAACTTGAAATATTATTTAGTCTAATTTAAAAAATCATGTGTTTTTGATAAAATTTTGGATTGCTACCCACTTCTATAATTTTTTAACTTTATATTAACCATGTGTATTTTAGAATTTATTTGGCAGTAGAAACCCTGAAATGCGAAGTGTTGGTTGGGACGTCGCATTGGCACTTATGGTATTCGCACCTTTGAGTTTTGATTAGATGCACTAAAATCTACGATAATTTTAAATTTTTAAGGGACGATTGCCCCCATCCGCCTCAACCTAGATCTAAGGATGGGCACCGGTCGGGTTTGGCCCAACCCGACCTTACCCGAAAGTTTTACACCCTCCACCCGACTCGAAAATATACACCCTCTACCCGACCTAAACTCAACTCACTTTTGAGCTAAAATCCGAATACGCCCGACCCAAAATAATAAAAATATTATTTTTATTCAATAAAAGAGGATTTAATTGAAAAAAATAATCTATAGAGGAGTCTTATTATAATTATCCATAAATATATAAGGAAAAAGTATATTTTTTTTGGTCGGGAATTTTCACCTAAACCCGACCCGAACATTACCTTTAAAAAACCAGACTCGAAATCGAAATTTTTACAAAAATTCGACTCGACGGATCAGGTCGGGTCGGGTCAAAACCCGTCGGATTCGGATACCATGCTCATCTCTACTTAGATTCATCCCTTGGCTACGGTGGCGAACATATAAACTTTTAAGAAGACGCAAACTTATAAAATTTTAGGAGATTAAAATAAGGGTTCGTTTCGTTCTAGAAAATATAGTCCATTTTAATTTTTATTTTCTTAGAAAATAGAAAATGTCGAAGAAAATGTGTTTGGTTGTAATATTAGAAAAAGGTTTTTAGAAAATAAAAACAAAAATAAGTGAAAATATAAAAACATAAAAAAGACGCTTTCAATATTTTCATTAAAATTGTTTTGAAAATTTGTAAAATAGGAAATAAAATATCTAACTTTTTAACTTACCTTACATACGTTCAAATCATTCTAACAATAGTTTTTTTGACTTAATGGTATCGAAAACCCTCAAACCTTTACAAAAATATCAATGTGGTCCCTAAATTTTTTATACTCAATATGGTACTTAAATTGAATTTTTTTAATAACTTAATTTTGTTGTATTTTTATATTTAATGTATGAATATCTTAATAATTTTTAATGTTTTATGTTTTAAATTTTAATATATATATATATATATATTTAAAGAATAAATAAATACTCAAACTTTTTAAAAAATCAATTAGACCCTTGCACTTAGCCGAAAAATTAATTAAGTCAATCTATCAAAACAACATCGTGAACTATCACAATATTATGGTAGACCATATAAGCTTTGTAAACTATAATGTAAGCATCGTGATAGTCAACATTTGATTTCGTTGATCAAAAGGTTAGATCGATTTTCTCATAATAAAGTTCACGTTTAGTGCAAAAAAAATCATGGACTACATTAGTTTTTTTTTTTTAAGTTTTAAGGCCTTAGATACCACTAAACGATTTTATTTTATTTTACTGAAACTTTTGTGTGTCTTGTCAAAAATAATATTTCTTGTGTATTTTTTAGTTTAATTGATGTCCAATATACATTAACATTATATTGTTATTGTAAACTAAAATAAGTTTTATTTATGAAAATTTCTTATTTGTTTTATTGTTTTATATTTGCATAACTCATATTCCAATTTATGTAATGAAACTTTTTAATATTTTTGAAAATTAGATACCAAATATATTTTTACTATTTTTATTTTTGAATTGAACTTTTAATTTTTATTAACTAAACATGTTTTCTAATTTTCAAAAAATTGAAAATGAAAACTATTTTCTGAAAATAAAAATAGAAAATAAAAACACAAAACATTTTCTAGAACCAAACGGACCATAAATTTTTAATAGAATATAAAAATATATCTAAAATAATCCTTAAATTGGAGTTAATTATGCTTACAAAAATTCAAATTAAACAAAATATACTTAAATGATGAACATTAATTTATTTAGTTTATATTAATAAATCTAAGTTTTATGTTATTTAAAATAACGACTAAAGATGTAACTCACTAAAAATTTATGTAAACCCCAATTTCTGGGTTGGTAGTTTAGGGTAAATCCGGGTGAGATTTAATACGCCAAGAAATCATTTAGTATTTTTGGGTTAAGATTTACCTTGTTTTGATTTGGGCTTAAGCCCATTAAGGCATAAAAAGGGTGTTTTTTTGAATTGGGCATGAAAAGAGGAGGAGTAGGACCCTAATTATTTCAAAAGCTGAATTCCATTCATTTTTGTGATGTCATCCGAGAAGAAACAAAGAAAAGTGAGAGCTTCATTTTCATCCCCACTTTGTCTTCTTCCATTCTCCATTCAAGCTTCATTTGTCATCTCATCTCTTGTAGATTAAGCAAATGAGATAACTTTGTGAACCTTTCCTCTCCAATCCAAAAGTCTAAGGTAATAAATGGAATCTTCATCCTCCAATCTTTCACCCAAGTGTTCTTTTTAAAGCTTCAACCATGGAAAACTATAAATTAGGGGCTTAAGATGGGTTTTGGGTTGTAGGGTTCTTAGTGCCTTAAACCCATTTTTATAGTGTAGGAATCATGTTTCTAATCATATTAAGCCCTTAATAAGTTAGTAACTCATTTCATTGCCTATGATTATTGAAAGGGGTGGGGAAACCTCCAAGGGAAAAAGGGCAAGGAGAAACATGTTCTTGGGTGAGGTCAATGTGTCCTTTTGGCAGCTTAGGAGTGAGATAACACATCTATGACTCTTTTTTATCGTATGTAGATCATTTCATATGCTTGTTTACTTGTATGGGTGCATTGAGCATGTTGTATGAATCCTATTTAATTGTGGTTCTAAGTGTTTTTAAGGTGAATAAAACTCGTTAAAGGCCACATTATGATACCCTATAACTCCTAAGCACTTCTCATAACATTTAATAACTGTTATATGGTGAATGGTTAGGTTGGGGGCTGATTTTCATGGGAAACAAAGTGTTTCTAGGCTCGAGTATCGGTACTATACGAACAGTATTGATACCGCCTTTCGATTAAACTAAAACAAAGGGAGTTTTGGGTAGGTAGTTCTGATACCCGTTCATGTGGTATAAATACTACTATGTGGATATCGATACCCTGGCTTGGTATCGATATTGGTACAGTAACTCAAATTCCTATAGTTATTTTTAGTATCAGTACTCATGAGAGTATCGAAACTAGGGGTAGAATATCAATACTCCAAGAAGAGAATCGATACTGCGGTATTTTCCAAAACATCGAAACTATTTTTGGTATCAGTACTCGGGTAGTATCGATACCCATGTGTTAGAGTATCGATACTATAGGTAAAAGTATCGATACCGAGTAATTTTTCAGAACATCAAAGCCATTTTTGGTATCGATACTTAGGGTAGTATCGATACCCTCCTAAGGCCAATATCGATGCTAGATGACAATATTGATACCCTCGTCTTTGACCGGGTAAGAAACCCAATTGAAGGTTAAGCGCTGGGCTCGAGGATTTAGTCATTGAACTTCTTTAATAAGATTAAAAGTGAAACCAACTAATAATATTTGAGAGTGACAGAAATTAAGACGATATAACATTAGCCCTTGTGTGACATTCGGGAAACGATAAGGAAACCTAAACTTCTTTAAATTTATGATGATCATCTTGTGTGATTAGACATTATTATATGTTAGGTCAGTGTGTATGCACTTGAACCGCTAGTTAGACGTAGGCCCCGATGCTAAGTGACCCCAGATACATCCCGAGTACTCTAAGAAGTAGACTAGGAGAATGTAGGCTCTAATGCTAAGTGAGCCCAGAGGTGTCTTAGGCATTAGGCAATGAGGGCCTTTTTAGATGAAGATTCTGATGTTGTGTTATCTAGGGTACCTTAAGTAGGAGAGAGGGGTGTAAGTCCTGAGTAGCTATGTGACCCTCCGACTACAGCCTGATGCTAGCTTTTGT